CTGTCGGGCAACGGGCGCGGCGCCTGCCGATGGCGGGGGCGCCCCCGGCGCCGCCCCGTGCCACAGCGGCGGTGCTCGAGCCCCGGGGCGGCGGACAGCGGGCGGGGCGGCGGGCCACGCCGCGCAGCTGCGGCGCCCCCCCCCCCCCCCGCGCCCCGCGCCCCGAACAGTCAACATCTGTGCCAGGAGGACGGGCGGGAAGGACGCCAGGAGGCCCCAAAACCAGGCCCCGAGAGGAGGTCCCCAGAGGAGGCTCTCAGAAGAGGCCCCCGAGCGAGGCCCCCCCCCAGCAGCTCCCCGGAGGCCTCAAAGCTGCCTCTCACTGGAGGTCCCCGAGAGGCCAAGATGTGATCCCAACGACCATCCAGGAGGCCTCAGACCCGCAACCTGGGCACGGTGGCTGGATGGGCCATCAGAGAAGGACGGGCGGTAAGGGCGCAAGGGCCTTGGCCGCCGAAGGGGCGCTTCGAAGGACGTCGCCAGCCCCTCGGGCTCCTCCTCCTCCGCCTCCTCCTCCTCCTCCTCCTCCTCCTCCTCCTGCGCCCGAGGGTACCCTGAGGGGCTGGCAAATGCAACCGGCGAAGGACTGGCCGCAGAGGCAAGGACGCAAAGGTACCCTGAGGAAAGTCGTCAGTCCTTATCCTGGATGTGACTGTAGCTCGGGGAGAGGGGATCTGGACTCTGGGTTGGCTTCGCGCGCGCACCCCGAGAGGCCGGGAGGTCCTGGCAGAGAGAAAGACGGCACCCACCGACACGTCGGCGACGACGAACGGCGACGGCGAGGTCGAGGATAACATGCAGCCCTGGACAGGGGGCGGGTAGAAGAGGGGGAGGGTGGGGGGGGGGGGAAAGAAGAGAGGGGGGACAAGCCAGGTGCGCTCGCGCCACATCTGACATCCTACCCCCCTTCTGCCCATTCGTTCCTATGCCGTTGTTTTTCTCTGCCCGCGGACGCGTGCCACAGCGGACCTGGAACTCCACAGAGGACCCAACCGCGGTACGCGCGATCAGAGGAGGGGAGCTGTCTAGATTGGAGGAGGTGGCGGATGAGCAGGAGGATGAGAACGAGAGAAAATGGAGGAGAAAGGAGGAGGACGAGGACGGACAGCAGCGGTGGGAGCAGAAGCTGAAGTGAAAGGAGCGAGAGGAGCAGGGGGGAGAGGAGGGATGAGAACAAACTTATTAAGATTATCGTTCGAAACCCGTCTTCCTGGCGCTGTCCTGGTCGAGAGACAGGCCGTTCACGGCTTTCCCCCGCGTTCAGGAAGGGCCACGCAGTGCTCGAGGGCAAACCTCGCCTGGGCTGGGACAGGGCTTACAACCCTGTGGCAGTGGGTGGGACCCGTGACTCCCGAAACTTGCGGGGATTAGTCACACGAAAGGCCCCGATCTTCGCACGCAAGCAGCATGCCGTGCCTCACCTCGAGCGTGCGCGAGGCGTGGCAGTCAGCAGCCACAAGATGTCCCCCAGCACCTCCGAAGGCTGGCTGGGGCGCCGGACCCGTTCTGGCTCCTCGGGTTGTCGCTGGAGGTGGGCACAAAGCGGACCTGAATCACCACGGGCTTTGGAGAGGCCTGGACACAAATCAAAACGAGGGCCCGAAAACGACAACAAGGGCCTACGTGGGCGAAGCATTTGGAACACCACGTAACTTGCTCAGGAGGTTCGTGGGAGTACTGCTGATCCGAACAAGAAGAGGCAAGGCACAAACACGACAAGGTAGGCGACAAGAGAAGAGGCCAAAGAAGAGTCACGGCAATATGCAGTTCAACAAACAGGGAAAGACGCAACCAAAGATGCAATGCAGCGGAAGGCTTTCTTCGTTGCCAACGGGATCAGGGGAGCTTCCAGAGCCTCTCTGGGGTACCACAAAGCCTTTTTAGGTCATCCTGAGATCCGCCTCCACCTGCTGCTGCTCCTCCTCCAGGAGGGGGCGGAGTCGGAGGATGAGGAGGAGGAGGAGGGAGATGAGGAGGAGGAGGAGGAGGAGGAGGAGGGAGAGGAGGAGGGGAGGGGGAGCAGGAGCAGGAGCAGGAGCAGGAGCAGGAGCAGAAGGAGGGCGGACGGCGGAGGGCGGAGGAGCATCTCGACGTTTTCTCCCTTGTTTGGGCCTCTGGGGGCGCCCTCAGCGCCTGGTTGGGGGGGGTGGGCGGGCGGGCACTGAGGCCATCGAGGCCCATCTTAGGAAGCAACTCGGGACCGTTTTGGAGTTCTGGATCATCATTGTGAGGCTTCTCGGGCCCTCTCGAGACATCCGAGGTATCCAGAGGTCAAACACCATCGTCAGGCAGTACTGGGAGGAGGGAGCGGAGGCACCTCGAGCTCACGCCTCTGGTCCAACAACGTGTCAAAATGTCGCGCTTTCATGGCCTGAAACAAAGACCGAACATCTTTTCCGGCCCGCCTTGGAGCGCCATCGGTCGCCCGTCCCCATCCCAGGCCTTCGCCTCGTGCGTGGTCCCGGTTGGCGATTCAGCGGCTAAAATGTCAAGCTCCACCAAGTCACGTCCCGTCATCCCGGGAAGTCAGCCCAGCCGCGGCGGTAGAAACAGGTGGTCGACGGAAAAGAGCAAGTGTTAGGTCGGGCATGACCTCATACAGGCGGATGTTGGGCGAAAAATAGAAAATGGCCGAACAATGCTCACAAATGGCAAAAAATAATAGAGAAATCGTCCCCTGACTATTTTTTGACAACTTTTGAACATTCCTCCTGTAGAGGGACAGGGACAGGCCCGACTGAAAGCAAAAGCAGAGAGCCGCATGCCTCCAGCCTCTGCTGCTCCACGAATCTGGCGTTGTCCTCGGAGGGGCGATGCTTCGCCCCCGCGAGGGACAGGGAGCGCTGGAGGACAGGGGACAGAGCTTGGGCAGGGGGAGGGAAGGGAGGAGAAGGCTGCGCCGGGGGAGCAAGGAGAGGAGGAAACGAGGATACGGGGAAGGAGGAGAGGGGATCAAGCAGGGAAGAGGCAGGGATGGCGGCGGTGTCGCTCTTCGCGATGGGAGGCCTACGCGGAAGCGGCGGCCACCGCGAGAGCCTGATCGCCGAACCGTTTCCTCAGAGGCTTAGGCGAGCCCCGCTCAGGCCTCTGGCGGTTCGGTTGCTCGGGTCGCTGGCCCCTTGAGCCCTCGACCCCTTCCCAGGGATTCGGTGGCAACTCATGGGGGCCTCCCGTACCATCTTGTCGGCCCTTGCGGATCGAAGCTAATCGACGCTAAACCCGCGCTAAATCAGCGCCAATCGACGCTGACCGACGCTGAGCCGGCGCTGTCTCATCGACTCCCAGACGCTAATCGACGCTAGTCGACGCCAAAGACGGAACTACGAGGATACACAAGGCCCCCGTTATTTGCCATCGAACAGAGACCGGCGCGTCAACCCCGCTGCGCTTGTACGGCCCACGACCCAGCAACGGCTCGCTGAACGCCGACAAATGCGGAATAACTGCGGCGCGGTGTCCCGGAGTCGCGTCGCCAACCACGTCCGTCCACGAACTCGAACCAAACCCTTCTCTGACAGGTGTTCAGGGGGATGACGAGCGGGCCCCGCGTTGCGGCAAAACGACAATGTCATAGGATAGCGAATGCGCCGTGGCTTAAGACTAATCGTACATACAGTAGCCACGAAAGAGAGGGCGCGCCGCTGGATAACCCCAAAGGGGGGGGGGACCCCCCCCCTTTCCTCGATCCGTCGTCGGGGACCCCCCCCCCTCCCCCCTTTCCCCGATCCGTCGTCGGGATCCCCCCCCCCCTTCCTGGCCCGTCGTCGGGAAACCCCCCCCCGATCCCCCCTTTCAAGAGGGCGGGAGGGGTTCCGACATCCCCCCCCCCTCCCTTCGTTTGGCCGCACCCCCCCCCCCCCTCCCCCCCTTTCCCCACGCTGCCCCCTGACTCCGGAACCCGACCCCCGCCACCCCTACCCGTAGTCCTCACCCTAACCCCCTAACCCACCCACAACCACCAACCCCAGCCCCAAAGAGTACTCACTACTCATTACTCACTACCCACTACTGACTACTCGCTAGTCGCTACTCACTCCTCACTTCCCCCTACTCACTACTCACGACTCACCACTCACTCTCCGCTACTCACTACCCACCACCCATTACTCGCCACTCACTACTCCCTACTCACCCCTCCCTCCTCCCTACTCACGACTCACTACTCACTTCTCACTACCCACTACTCAATACTCACTACTGACTAAGCACTACTCACTACTCCCTAGTCACTAATCACTAATCACTACTCATTAACTACTCACTACTCATTGCCCACAAATCACTACTCACTACCCACTACTCGCTACTCGCTACTCCCTACAAAATACTGACTACACAATACTCAGTACTCACTTCTCGCTACTCACATACTCGCTACTCAATACCCACTGCTCTTTCCCCGCACCTGACTACTCACTAATCACTACTCCTTACTCACTATCCACTACATGGTCTCTAGTCACTAGTCACAGGGCCCTAGTCATTAGTCACGAGTCACTACTCACTACCTACTACTCACTAGTCGCTACTCGCTACCCACTATTCGCTACCCATTTCTTGCTACTCACTACTCACTACTCCCTACTCCGTACTCGCTACTCACTAATCACTACCCACTACTCACTACTGACTACTCTCTACTCCCTACTCACTGCTCACTACTTCCTACTCCCTGCTCCCTACTCACTACTCACTACTCACTACTCGCTACTCCCTACTCGTTACTCACGAGTCACTACCCAGTACTCACTACTCACTACTCCCTACTCACTACTCACTACGCCCTGCTCGTTCCTCACTGCCCACTACTCGCTACTCCCTATTCGCACTCACTACTCACTGCCCACTGCCACTACCCACTACTCTCTACTCATCACTACTCACTACTCACCATTCACTACGCACTACCTACTTCTCAGTACTCACTACTCACTTCTCGCTACTCACTACTCACTACTCGCTACACTCTACTCACTACTCACTACTCACTACTCACCAATCAATACTCACTACTCAATACACACTACGCACTACGCACTACGCACAACCCACTACCCACTACCAACTGACCACTACTCGCC